TTGGGATGTCAGCAGAGGGATTGTGGAGAGTAGTTTTTCCCCTTATTTGTAGCGGAGGACTCCCATGGGCAAACCTTGTCCGATGAATCATACTTAATGTAAGAGGTTAGCATTGTGGCATGTTTGCTTTTTAAATGTAATGTATATTTTTTCCTTGTTTTTCACATCTTCAAGCATTGTATAAACAATTAAACTTACACTTTTCTTTGAATCTTGTAGAGTAAGAGGATGGCAATAAGAGCACTCTGGAGAAGTGAGAATAATTTTTGAAAAGGAAAGCAAATCCAGCCAGAAATCAAAATATTTTCCATTTCCTGCAGAAAATTACACAATTCTCCCAGCAGGCGAAAGGCAAGAGAAAATTAAGAGATTTCAAGCTGGAAATAGTAAAGTAACACAAGCATAGGTTACATGACATTTTTCACTTCCTCCAGCATATCAGTGAATTGCAAAAGCATAGGTGATTACATACAAGAGGATCCAAACGGGAAAAAAGACATACAAATGCGACTAATGTAACAAAATCTTTGGTCAGAATTTCTCCCTTCTGGTTCATAAAAGGACCCACACAGGACAGATGCCCTATAAATGCTCCCAATGTGGTAAATACTTTACCAAGCAAAGTAATTCACACAGGAGAGAAACCATAGGAGTCTCCAGTTTGTGAGAAACGTTTTGCTGTAAATTACTACCTGATGAAACACCAGATGACTCACACCAGAGAGAACCCCTTTGAATGTTCGGATTGTGGGAAATCTTCCATTCGGAATTCCCACCTGGTGAGACACCAGAGAACTCACACAGGAGAGAAACCCTTTGAATGTCCTGAATGTGGGAAAGGTTTCACTCACAGTTCCAACCTGGTGAGACACCAGAGGAATCACACAGGAGAAAAACCCTTTGAATGTCCTGAGTGTGGGAAAGGATTCAAGAAAGGTTGTCAACTGGTAAACCACCAGAGCATTCACACAGGAGAGAAACCCTTTGAATGTCCTGAGTGTGGAAAACGTTTTGTTGTAAATTCCCACCTGGTGATACACCAGAGAACTCACACAGGAGAGAAACCGTATGAGTGTCCAGTTTGTGGGAAAAGTTTCATTGTAAATTCCCACCTGGTGAGACACCAGAGGACTCACACAGGAGAGAAATCGTATGAGTGTCCACAGTGTGGGAAAAGTTTCATTGCAAATTCTGAGCTGGTGAGACACCAGAAGATTCACACAGGAGAGAAACGGTATGAGTGTCCAGGTTGTAGGAAACGTTTCTTTGCAAAAAAAAGAAACCCTTTGAATGTCCTCAATGTGGGAAACATTTCAGTCACAATTCCAGCCTGGTTAAACACCAGAGGACTCACACAGGAGAGAAACCATATGAGTGTCCACTTTGTGGGAAAAGTTTTATTTCAAATTCCAACTTAGTAAAGCACCAGAGGACTCACACCTGAGAGAAACTATATGAGTGTCCAGTTTGTGGGAAAAGTTTTAGTTCCCATTCTAACCTGGTGATACACCAAAGGTCTCACATAGGAGAGAAACCCTTTGAATGTCCTGAATGTGGGAAAAGTTTCAGTCGTAATTGCTATCTAGTGATCCACCAGAGGACTCACACAGGAGAGAAACCCTTTGAATGTCCTGAATGTGGGAAATGTTTCAAGAAGAATTCCCACCTGGTGATACATTAGAGGACTCACACAGGAGAGAAACCCTTTGAATGTCCTGAATGTGGGAAATGTTTCAAGAAGAATTCCCACCTGGTGATACATCAGAGGACTCACACAGGAGAGAAACCATAGGAGTGTCCAGTTTGTGGGAAAAGTTTTATTACATATTCTGACCTAGTAAACCACCAGAGGACTCACACAGGAGAGAAAC